AGGCAGATGAGATAATCAGGTATGTTTCAGAACATTCTGTGAATTTATCAAAAAAACTAACAATTCAAACCCTTCAAAAGCATTAATGTATTTTGAAGAATTCCAGTCAGCTGCATGAACCCTGTAAGATGGTCCCTCTCTCTTTTATAAACCAAATGATGCATTCTTACAGGGTTTTCCACAATCATCCCACAACCAAGTCTGACAATTAATTAACCATCTCAGCCATTGCTGTACAAGGCGCACGACATTTACCAGGTGGAAACAACAAAACCCAGCCACCAAAGAAAGTCGTTTGCAGCTTTTTGTGTAGATAATATACAATAAACTGCAAAGCTAAACAATGCAGATTAAACACACAGAGGAATCTAAACACACTTAGCAATGCTGAGCCCCAAAGCACACATCCAGCATCTTAATAAACCTCAGAACAGCAGTCGACCTGCACACACACACATACTAATGCACATAAACTCAAAAATATGAGCTTCAAAACACACATCCTCGCAGACACACAAGGCCCCAAACCCCACCTGCGCTGTGCAGAGGCAGACACCTGTCTGTGAGAGCACGGGGGTCTCAAATGAAAGGCTGAATCAGAATCTCAGAAGCTTAAAAGAGGACAAAGAGAAACACACCCACGAGCACACGCTGGATAAAGGTAATTTATTTCCCTAGGTGGAAAAAAGGCAAGAAAAGGGGAGGTTTGCATGTGTGTGTGTAGGCATGGAAGCATCAGCATGAAAACTCATTATTGTCGGGTCTGCTGCTCGAAACAATCACAGCCGCTGATCTATGGAAGTCGTCGATGGGTGCCACTGCAACTCTGAAGTTATCTGTTGATATCTGTGCAATTAGGACCCCATCTCCGCTGAAACAGCCCCTCTCTGTTCCCTTCGGCCCCTCCTCTCCCCGCAGCCCTCAGTCAGATGAAAGGCCGGCTAAGCCACGGAGGTCGTGCCGAGCAGGGCGGCTCCGGCGCTCCCAGTTAACGCCGGTCGCTGCATGTCTTCTAATCCCACACCGTTTAGCGGCCTGCATGGCACGACGCCCGTTAATCACCGGCTCACATCGCCCATCGCCCCGGCAACCAGCACCTTCCCACTGCTTGTGCAGATACGCCCTTCCACCCCCATTTTTTTTTTTTTGTCCATCTAACATTTATTTCATCAGATTTTTTTCCTCTCTCCACTTTCATTTTTTAGGAAACATTCCTACTCTGAGTAAAAACTGACACGTCGTCCCAGAGAAGGAGATGTTTGTTAAAGATGCAACAAGAAGGTAGAAGCCAACACAAAGAGAGCTGCTTTTAAACAATGAAAAGCGAAGCCGAGCTGACTGGGATCTTCAAACACATTCTCCTAAACTGGAAGCACATCTGGCAAATTTCAGAGTGAATCGAGCATCATTGGGAACTAATGAGCGTGACTTTGTCCTCAAAGTAGTCTCATTAGAGGACTGCGAAATCCTTGTTGAGTCAATTAAAGCTCAACGACATGAAGACTAAAGAAAATACAGCGTGGCCCGAAGCCTCGCGAAGGAATTGTTCTGAGCACTGCAGGGAGGCTGTGCAGCTCTTTTTAAAACGTTGCCGCAATTTCAGTTCTGTGGAGACAAAAAAAAGGGTTTTATGGGCTGGATTCATGATAAGTAATTATGATTAATGTGAGTTTCCCTTTTAAGGGTGTTTAAAATCATATTAAATAACATTTAATGTGATGAATTTGTGTTTACCTTGTAATCATAGCACCTGTTTTTAGGTAAGAGACACAATATTCTTGGGGGAAAAAAAATGTATCCTTCCCAACATATTTTCTTTGTTTTCTGTCAACCTTTATGTTTTTGATTCATCATCGTATTCATGTCAGGGTTCTGCAAAATGTCCTGTCTCTCCAGATCAAAAGTCAATTAGATTTATTTTTATTTTTTTTATTGGGGGGGGGAATCAACAATCAATGTTATTACACTATAATCTGATAACTGCCTGAACTGCGGATCAGAAGAACCAGTCTAACGACTTAAAGTACGCTCAAAACCCGTTAATAGCCACCAGTCCTTCCCAGTGCTTAAGACATTTAAAGAGGGTTGAGAAACAAAATCATTGATATTTATCAGCATAAAAAGGGGTTATACAGCCCCTTTTAAGCCAAAACTGGACCAATAAGCTATGCAGACCCAACAAGGCTCAGTTTAGATCAGTTCATCCTTTAACGTTTAGAAAAAATAGATTGTGTAAACATGTTATAGTCATCTTTGTTGGTGAACGGAGTGATAAGACACCAGCATTATATTTTGCTGGTCTTTTCCTTCCACAAAACAGAATGTCTGAGATCTTTACTTGGCCAAAAAAAGGAAATATAATCCTGAGGCACAACAACTTTGTGGACTTAGATGGATCTGTTCCAAACATCTTGGTGACGGATAACACCTAGGAATGTGGTCATAATGTTATGCCTGATTAGTATATTTTTTTATATCTTACTTTCTCCCAGATTTTTACAAAAAGATAATGCATAATCAATAGATCTTAAGACTGATGTGTCTCAGTTTGGGATTCTTTAATGAATTCTTGATGAAGTGACAGACATTCTTGTCTTTACAGGAAGCGCGAAGATTGAGAGGTGTGCAGAAACTTTGCATAAACGCTTCTACACTGCGTTTCACACCCTGAGTAATGTCCTTAGAGAGATCTCAACAATTATGGACAACAAAGGAAACTGGAAACAAAATCATGACAAGAGCATGTAAACACAAGACGTATACAAGGCAGCAAACATAAAAAAACGACACAACAAACAAAGAATGAAAGTGCCTCTATTAGCCTCGGGTGTTCTGCATCGAGTCAGTCTTTGATATTCAAACTAACCTTAAATAAAAGCAGAGACCTGCTTTATTCCTCCGCTCCAAACCACCACTGAGGTAACTGCACACACATATCAGCACTGCAGCCCATTGCCACCCCTCTGTTCCCTGCTAACGTCTACACTTCTCTTCCACTAAATGCATTTATTAGGCCTCTCCTACAGCGCTTGACACACCATGTAAATATGCTGCTGTGTCTTCAGTCTGCCTCGATAAATGCCACATCATACATGAACATCCACCCACATAATTTCCTCAGAAAAACATGAAAATTACACAAGTTAAACTAAATCGGATATGAGAGAGAAAGAAACTTTGGACACTACGATTACTCAAACTGGTGTCCTTGTTAAACCTAGTTATTAAGATTGTATGGCATGTTTTTCAAGTTGAAATTAAAGGCCTTTTATCATTATTATGCAAGACTAAGTAAATCTGTGATTTCCAGATGTTTCAAACCCAACATATCTGAGTAAAAAAAGGGAGCAATCTGCCGCTGAGGGCATGGAGGTAGGAAGCAAGGATTGATGTTAGAAGACAATGAAGGGTGCAAAGAAAAATGAAGGACGGAAATAAGGAGGTAGATACAAAATAAGAAGGAAGAAAGAGCAGATGGACAAGAAGGTACAAGGTCACAAGGAAGGTGACAAGAAAGGAAGTCCAGAAGGACAAAAAAATAGGGAAGGAAGGAAGTGTACTTGTATAGCACATATCAGTTCAAGGCCAGTTCAAAGTGCTTTACATTAATTAATAAAATAAAAATAAAAGCAAATGACGATGAAAATATAATAAAATCAGGTAATAAAACAAAAAAAAAATTGTGGAGTAAGTGGAGCATAGGAACTAAATAATGCTTCTCTATGTTCGGTTCTAGTCCTGGGTGAACAGAGTAGGCTTGAAGTAGAAGACCTGAATGGTCTGGGAGGTTGATACACTGACAGCAAATCTGCTATGTATTTTATATGTAGGCGTTTATCCATTCAGTCATTTATAGACTAACAGAAGGATTTTAAAGATCATTCTCTGTGCTACAGGGAGCCAGTGGAAGGACTTCAGAACCTGGCTGATGTGCTCTACTTTCTTTATTTTAGTGAGAACATGGGCGGCAGGGCTTTGGCTCAGCTGCAGCTCTCTGATGGACAAACCTATGAAGAAATTTTTGCCGTAATCAATTCTACTAAAGATAAATGCATGAATGAGTTTTTCTACATCCTGTTTGGACATTAGTCCTTTAATCCTGGAGATGTTCTTTAGGTGATAAAAGACTGACCTGGTAACTGGCTCTGATGGTTAAAGTCTGAGTCCATCATGACACCAAGATTTTGGCCATAATCAGTAGTTTCTAGTAGCTGAAGCTGTGAGCTAACTATGGATCTCTATGGATTATTAACCCAGGTTTTTTTTATTCAATTGTAGAAAATTACGGTGCATCCACATATAAATCTGATACAAGCAACTAACCAATGCTCTGATGGGTTCATAGTCACCTGGTTACATTGTTATGTAAAGCTGTGTGTCATCTGCATAGCTATGGTAACTGATCTGGTTGTTTGCTATAATCAAAGCCAAGGGAAACATGTAGATGTTGAATAGGAGCGGCTCCAGGATGAAGCTTTGGGGGACCCCACATGTGATTTTTCTGGTGTCTGATTTAAAGTTTCCTTCTGACGGATAGAAGTCCCTGTCCTTCAGGTAGGATTAAAGCAGTCCAGAGTTCTACCAGAAAGGCCAACATAGTTTTCCAGAAACTGTAATACAATCAAGTGATCAACAGTGTCAAATGCTGCACTGAGGTCCAATAATAGCAGCACTGTGGTTCTTCCAGAGTTTGAGTTTATACGGATGTTACTGAACACCTTAATCAGGGCCGTCTCTGTACTATGGTATACACAGAAACCTGACAAGCAGCTGATCATTGTTAAGAATGCATTTAACTGTTCAAATAACTTTTTTTCCCCCACAAATCTACAGATGAAGGACAGGTTTGAGATGGATTTGTAGTTCTTTAGGATTAATTTGTCCAAGCTTCTCTTTTTCAACCATAGTTTGATAATTGCTGCTTTTAAGGGCCGAAGAAAAACACCTGACATACTGTAAGGAATGTTTTTGGGGTTTCAATCAAATCAGTCTCTAAAAAAAACAGGTAAAACGTTCTTAATAAAACCTTTGGTTAATTCTTCAAGGCAGAAGGAAGATAAGGAAGGAAGGAAGTAAAAGTTTGCCATGTACATCTGAAACATAGAAATCAAATAGGGAAAGTAGACACAAGATTTAGTGCAGATGAGTTTTATAAGATTGCTATTAATCTAAGGAGCAGCATGAGTATCAGCTTTTATTTATCCGTAACAGCTTTTGTTTTTTTTGCACTTTTCATTATTTGTAATCAAAATTTGACTAATATCAGCTCATTATTAATCATGCATTTATAATATATGAGTACAACATGACAGGTAACTGCTCTAATTGGGGTACAGCAGCTCTTAAAATGCACATTAGTTTTAACATTTCAACAAATTATTTACCTATGAATAAAACATTCAAGCAAAAAACATTCCTGCAACACACACAACCATAAAGTCTGGTCCCATTAATCAAAACAAAGCTCATATAAAAACAATCTGCATGCTGCACCTGATCATGCTTGTTTTAATTGGCTGAGATGAGGATGAACTTTAATCTAATTGGCTTTGTGGGAAACTGTGTGTAAATGTGTTAAGGAGGTGAGCATGCAGCCATCTTTAACCAACACACCAACGGAGTGCTAACATATGTCCTCCAGCTGATCAGGTGACAGCAGAATGACCTCTGTGTTTGTGTGGTTATGTTTTTGTAACCTTATGGGGACCATTTCACAGGAATTTGCTACATTCTGGAAGGGGTGGGGGTATTACCTGTGGACTGGTCCCCAGGAGGAAAAGGTTAGGCAGTTATTGGGAATGATTAGGGTACGGTTCTGGGTTAAGCATTACAAGTGAATGCAAAATTGATGGCAGTCAATGCAAAGTCTCCATAAGGATAGTGGGACATAACATGTAATGGAGAACAGTCAAACCCTGCCAGGGCGTCAGGGATTTTCCACTTCCTGGAATTGTTTGCATTAACTGAATGTAAATATAAAATGATCATGAGGTATGTGGTAAAAACTGCAAATACAATAATATAAAATAATCATAATTCACCAGAGAGAGTTGAAATTTTATGTAAACATAGATAATAATTAAAAAGTGTTTGACCACAGCTTATAGAAAAATATTTTAACGGCGGAATGATCAGATGGAGCAATTTTACTTTTTTTAGTAAAGCAGAAGGAAGAAATGTACATTCCCTTTAGATTGGCTTTTCCTGAAAACCCAAACAAGTGGAATTTAATCCCTGTGTATACATACTGTATACACAGAAAAAAAAAAAAAAAGATATTCACACACATGTATACATGTAATAGTGTTAATGGTGGTCTGGCTAATAAAATACAGTTGTTCAACTTACAAAGAATAACTGGTCTTAAATATGTAAAAATTGAAAATCAGATGAAATCACCATGTATCATATACATAGTTGATAATTTTATATTTAATTCATTTAACTAGCTGCCAGGTCATATGCCAGGAGTGTGAACATTATGAGATATGTCCTGCGGTAGTCCATTGCATAAAAACTAAGAACTTTTAATGGATAAGTCTTGAAAGGTAGTAAGTACTTGTACCTCTAGATGGGGTTTTATAGGGTTCTACCCATTCAACCTTTGTCATATAAGATACAAGGGGAGATGCTCAGCCTGATGTTTTGAAAAACATTGGTAAAATGTTGCTCCTTATGTAAGATCAGGTCCCATTAAAGCTGATGATGGATCTCTCAAGTCCTATATCAGAGCTAATTGCTGATGCCTTTCCTTTTTTTAAATACCTTTTTCTATTGATCAAAAATTATTTTTTGCAGTGGACTCAATTTATTATATGCTTGCTTATTGTGTGCATACTCACCTTCCCAATAACAGGGATGTCCACAGATCCCCAGGTGTCAGCTCCCCAATGAACAATCCCCGATGCAAAATCTGCTGTCACTATCCCCAAAACTGGAATAGAGGAAAAATCAATGTATTCAATTTGAAAAGAGTCTAAATGTTAATATAAGGCACATAATTTATCATTCCAGGTAATTTGTCTTTGTGCCTGTTAACCTACCGATGCCAATAATGATCTTGTAGATGTGAACAGTGGAGAAGTGCAGGAGGAGGAATGAGAAGTTGATGATGAAGAGGAATAGGCACAGAATCACACAAACCCACTCCTGGACTCGTTTACCTGGAAAGGGGAAAATGGAAATTAATTTTATACCAGCATGCAGGAAAAAGTAATCAAACTGATGGAGAATTAAAGAAAAATAGGAGACGAAGTTAGGTGGGTTGGATATGATGAAATGGATTCCTGCTCCCATCAGAAGAACAAGTTGCTCCTTACAGGAGGTTAAAGGATCACCCAGCAGCCATCACTTTGTGTGAGTGTGTCCACACTGTTAATATGTAATCATTCAGAGGAAGACAAATGTAGACGAGGCGATGGGGTCACGACCTCTCCAGTATGAAACACTGACGCTCAGGCCACACAGAGTCCCCATCAGGTGGGAGGCCGATCTCTGCAGGGACGATCCCAACTCAGAGGTCAGCAACTTAGGGAAAGACGGAGTAACTGAAACCAACTCTAAACTCCGCATTCAGCAGGAAAATCAGGGAGCGATGGGAGGGTCAGACTGAGAACCCTCCCTCTGCACACGGCCGAACATCAGAGGTGCTGAATTATTGAGACTTTGGTCAACTGCTCAATTCTTTTTTTTTTTCTTCCTTCAGGAATTGTCTGAACTTTACAATCACTTTCTCCTCTGCCCCTTTTCCTATTATTTTTAAACCCATCAGCAGGAAATGCAACATCTCAAAGATTTACAAAAATAAACTACCCAAGAAATCAACAACTACATCCACTTTGCAGACCTCCTGCCCTTCCTGGCTGTCTTTAACAGTCTAATGTGTCTGAAACTTTAATGCGTTCAGATCCTAATGTATCTCACAGCATTAGGAGGCTATAAGAAATTCATGACAGGTTTTTTTTCTTAATAAAGCACTCCGGCCTGCATAGGTCTGCGTCTGAAGACCGGAGCAACTATGAATATGAAGGTATGGACTCAGGAGCTCATAGGGGGTCTAGAATATGTGATTATGGATATTTTACAACTCATCAAAGCTGACCCTTCACCCGTATCGAAGCTATAAAGAGACAGATGGGCAATAAAGGTAGATGGTAGTTAACTCCTTGGTGGGTTTTACATTTCCTCTTCAGATGCTGCTGTTTAAATCTGTCTCAAAGTTAATCGTTGCACCTTTCATTTTGTACCCGGTTCTCAATAAGGTTAAACATTTTTAAGTAAAACTTGGGATATTTTCTATATGTGTCACTTCTCTTGTTCTTCTTGTTAAAATGTTCAATCCAATCTGAATGTAGCAGTTGCATTGTGTCGTAAACTTTGGAGCATTTTTTTGTATGTAGCATGAATTTGTATGTAGCCAAAGTCTAATAGAAAGAAAACTTCCAGCGGTATACCTTCTATAGTGGCTTCCACTTGGAGAAAAACATGACTTAAGTATGAGATCTGAGCCATTATTTAGGTCTGGGAGATGAATGATACAGTAAAAATGAGGGATTCATCAATATAGCTTTACAGTTTTGATTTAACAGCGCAGCCTTGAATGTTTACTGATGTTTTTGGACGGTGGGAGGAAGCCGCAGTATCCGGAGAGAACCCAGGCATGCACAGGGAGAACATTCTAACTCCAAGCAAAAAGACCCCAGGCCAGGAATTGGACCCAGAACCTTATTGCTACAAGGCAACAGTGCCACCCACTGCATGTCTGGGCCTCTTAACTGATACTTCAGACACAGTTAACTTCCATGCAAAAATCTGAATAAAGTGTCTGGTTTTGGCTCTGTTTCAGGATTCCTACTTTTTTTTGGCTGCAACATACCTTTAATTTAAAAGGAAAATAGTTTTGAACACATATAGTTACACTCTTCCATCACATTTTAAAATGGAAATGGTAGAAAAATAAACAAAGCCCTCTGTTGAAATGAAAATGGCTTCGTAAAAAACTCTTAATATCCACCTCATTTTGAGAAATCCTCGCCTATTTTGCACCCAAATGGAAAAGCAAATAACTTAGGAACTGTGAGCCCAAATTACATGTGCAATACATTATTTGAAAGCTAACACCCTTTCTGAATATATAAATAAAAATTGGGTGAGTAGAACACAGACTAAGGTGCATCAGTTCAAGCATGACTCAAAGTTGCATTTTTTATTCTTGAAAATGATTTGATTTTTTTTTAACAGCAGTAATAAAGACATTCTTAGAAAAGGTTAGTCTCATTGTATTAGTTGTAGCTTATTTCAATGATCGGCTGATCACAATTCATCTGATTGTTTCAACCCAAAGTGGAAGAAAAACATGTGGTATGAAAAAGGCGCATAACAGGTTACCCAGGAGACGGTTATCAATAGAGGGTATTGATAACCGCCTCCTGGGTAACCTGTTATGCACCTTTTTCACACAAGGAGTGACCAAAGAAAGCTATTGCTGGAGAAGTTGACTGTTCAGCCCATTGCATTCAAAGTAAGTGCTGAAAAGCTAAGTGGAAGAGAAAAATACAATAGAAAAGCTAAGAACACCAACTAACTTATAAGGACTTACATACTTTAGCATGTAAATATGCAGCCTAGTGGTTTGATGTTTTTTCTATTTGAGTTATTTCTGTAGGTACAGTAGTGGGAAATGTTGAAGTTCTATAAAAAAGTTTAATTTTAAGCCTTTATTAGCTGCAAGAGAAAAAAATCAAAACACTCCATGTTATAAAATTATTTTGGGTTTTCAGTTTCTGAAATAAATTATCAATAATATTTTGTATTTAAATATCTCTGTAATACCAACTGTGCTAAAATACTTGAGTCACAGAAAAAACTTTAATCCAAACATCAATAAATATTTATGCAAGGGCAGAAATAAATGTTTAGATAAGCCTTCTTGTGTTCATACTTTGTAAATCCTGACAGAAGCTGCCAGAGGAGTTTGCATGGTGCTCAAAGCGGCAGCACATGTGAGCCACTGTGTGTCGACGCACACAGCCTCAGTCCGTTTGTCGCTTCAGCGGAACACATTCAGTTTTGTTGTTTTAGGTTTTGTGTGACATAATTTTCCCTCCAATATGCCTGAAGGTACCCCAAAACACAGGACGGGTCAATACAGGAAAATTATCTCCCATCATCTCCAAATAAGGCTGCAGCCAATCTGTGAGCGAACAGATAGACCGCCGTGCTCACACTGATGGACTTTTTAACACACAATGCTCGTCGCGCAGATCCAGACGCTCCATCTCTGTCACACACTCACACACCCATGGTGCAGGGCACTGGAGCAGTGGGGCGGCTGTCAGGTGATGTGCGTCAGTCCTTGGATCCTCCAGCTCCCTGGTGAGGAGAAGGAAACTAGGACAGGCCTCCACAGAGTGTGCATATTCACTCACAAACACACACATAAGCCCTTGTCCCTCAGGCCATGGCATTGCTGGATATCACACACAGAGGCGGTGACAAACCAAAAAAAAAAATGTCTAAAAGCATCCATGTGAACGTGTAAAGATGCACGGAAAGAAAAACACAACCCATTTGTTCTCTCCTTTGGCACACAAACACCCAAACACTTAAACATGCTGGCACGAATGAATCGGCGCACACTCTGAGGGCCCGAGCAACCCGCTCATTAATATCGCTCTGACAACAACTGGTTCCCTGGCAACCTCTCCGCCATCGCTCACCCAGCAGCAACCCCCGCCTGCAAGCTTGCACGTGGGTGTGCACGGGGACTTAACCTGGGTGGAGCCGGGGGAGGTGAACGAGGGGTGCTAATAGGCTGAAATTAATCAACGCCGGCTGATTCGCTGTCAGGGGAACGAGTGGCGGACAGCAGGAAGGAAGGCAACACGTCCTGAATACTAATGACCAAATAAAGAGGAAGAGGATCCCTTCACCCCACAATGAGCCACTGAAAAGGGCTAAAATGTGATAACATATACTGATATATGCATAAGAATAAGCTCGGGGAAGGTGTGACCATTAGTAGCACGATCAGAATAATATATGATTTCCTAATATAGAGTGGTTTTCTTTAAGGTTTGATCAGATCCTCATTTTGATCATTTCTAATAGGTTCCTTATTAGATCTAATAGTTCTGAATACAACAAAATCACATATTATAGCTCTGATATTATTTTGCAGCTAAGTCATTTGGAATTTTCACATGAAAATAATTCCATGAATATTTTTTTTAACATAATGCTGTAAAATATCAACTAAGAGATTATTCATATTTAGGACTGAAACCATGGAAAGAGCACATCAGCCAAAGTCTGCAACAAATTTCTTTCGGCAGGTGGGACTAAAGTGCAAATGTTTGGATATGATGCACAGCAGAATGTGGACTGAAATCTCCTGCTTCTCGGGAAGAAACATTTTAAAACTGCCTAGGCTTAAAAGCAGTGATATTATAAACTTACATATCATTATAATTTAGAATTAATTTATATTGCCTTCAACACTCAGTTTTATCTGCTTCCAGCTGTGCCATTGCAATATATTATTTCGGTGCATTTTCTGGTTATGCGTTTCCAGGTGAACTAGAGTGCATAGAGTGTTAAACCCACACCGGGATAATCTGACCTTAATCATGAACAGACTAATGAAGCCTATAGAGGTAACTTTTGAAAATAAAACTAGATTTAATACAAAGAAAATATAAAATATAGAGTAAAATAATAGAGTAAAAAATATGAAACTTTTAAACTTCTGAAACGTATATTTAAGATAGAAACTAGTTTGTTGGGTAAAAAAAAATGGAATATTATGTTAAAACTAAACTGACTGAATCCCACATTGGAGGAGGAATGATGACTTAGGCTTCCTTTGGAGCTGCAGGACCTGCGAACGTCGCAAACCCTGAGTTCAGCCTATTTCTCTCTGAAGCAATCTAAAGCCACATGTGAGGCTGACACCTGAAGCTCCCAAACTGGGTCATCAAGAAAATGATCCCAAACACAGCAGCACCACAACAGAGCAGCTAATAAAGACGAGCCACGGTGCAGAATCGAATGTCTAAAAAACTCAATGTACCAAAAATGTGAGAGAAGAGTGGATCAGAATTCCTCCTTAACGGTAGAGAAGCTGATAAATTCAGAGAATTACACAGTGCTGAGAGGTATTGGT